GAAGGGAGAGCAGAGGACAGCAAGGAAGGGCAGCTGGCACCCGCTGGTCCTCGCTAGCACCCGCAGCGCTGGCCTTTCCCCCCGCTTTTGCCAGGGACCTTTCCGAGAACCCAGCCTTGCGTCTCCGCCTCGCAGCGCGCTCCCGCGTTCTCCAGCCGGCTGCCCGCGAGCTGCCGCCAGAGACGAGGCCACTCGATGAGTTTCCAGAAAGTAAACGCAAAGCATGAGGAAGCCGAACGTGTTTTGGTTGGCTTTGAGGATCTGAGAGGGCTGCCGTTGCGGGCTGTCCGCTGGCCCGCTGCTCTTTTCGCTTGCCGCGTGGTTACACTTTCATGTTTGCCTTTGCTCGGTGCGCTTTTCTAGTGGTTTTTATGGGCGATTGAGGGTAAATGAAAGGGCCTTATATGCTGCGAAGAAAGAAGCCGAGTATAAGATGGTGCTACTTGGACAGGCTATAATCAGGCTTTCATGTATTCGTGTTTACCCAATGTTACTTGGAAATGCTGTGTATATTCTGAACGTGAATTTTACTTTAATCCTTTGTTCTGCAGAGGACGCTTCTCATTTGGACTCGTTTAAGAGCATGGTCTGTCTTTAGTACCGTAGATAAACTTCTCTCTTTCACTCCGGGGCCGGTGTGCAGCGCAACAGGCGACGTGCGCCGCTAATTTGCGGATAAGTAGGTAGAACTTGTTCTTGCCCATCCGCCTCCAGACGCTGCCTTGTGAAAGTCCCTCTCCCAGCTCCACACCTGATGCATTTAAGCGATCTGAAGTGGGCAAGGGGAGCTAAAAATGTATTCCGGGAAAGGGACACGTTCATCTACTCCAGGATGAACTTCAGTCGGTGGAGACTGAAAACAAGAAAGCAGTCACACAGTGAGCCCCACGACTTGTCTGGAGGTCAAAAGAGTTATGTACGTAGGGGATGAAGGTAAAGTGGAGTGAAGAAACGAAGAAAAACAGCTTTGCTGCTGGGTTTGTATAATTAATTGGAAGCCAGCACAGGTATTCAGTGTTAATGGAAAATGAGCGAGCAGTGTACGTCTTCCTGATGAAGTTGGTCAAATAACGGGTTACCTTAACCCTATAACAGCTTTATAATTGACACTTCCACTGTGTGCTTGGACTTTATAACAGCAGGCTCGGCAGTGGATGGGCGCCAAGGCCAAAACAAACTCCTTGTTAATGAACCCAGAGTAAAAAGGACATAATAGTTCCCGAGACATCTTGACCTTTTAAGATGGCTTAGTCAGATGGCTTTCAGCAGTGATGAAAGGCAGAAATCTTTCCTCTTGTGGAGGCCTCAAAGACAGCTGGGTAAAGCAAAATTGTTCTGAGTACAGATTGCTGGAAGGAAAATAGTTTGTCTTCATGTATAAGGTATCCATCCTTTCTCTAAACTGTAGGGTGGTGACTTTCCTTGTCAGGGTGGGATAGTATTTCTGTTTGGGTTAGCAAAGCACGTCCAAGCTTCTGCCAGTACATGTCAGTCCTGGACTCTCATGCCACTTTTAAAAGTAAATTGCCGAGATTGCAAAAAGTCTAAGCTGGGGAGGAAAATGAGTAACCTGACCACTACAATCCAGGTGTCTAGGGTTAGGTTTGCAAATTAGGCTGAGTAAGTAGACTCCTTATGGGGTATATTCTTATTAAATCCAAACCCACAAGTTGCAGTATAGTGTCTCTATGCCATGCTCGTATTTTACATGTTTTGTGTATACTATACAGGGCCGTTACAAATTTGCAGGAGTAAAAGAAGAGTGTCCACGTGCTAAATCACTTGGAATTGCACATACCCGAAGGCTTCTCAATCTCTGCTTGAGAAGGAAACTGCATGTAGACATTCGCTGGCTTCAGTAGTCTTCCTAGATACTGCTTTGAATATTGGCATAGACAATTCTTGCAAGGGTAGCTGGGAAAGTCTGAAATCTTTTTTTTGTTTAAATATGTTTATTGCTCTGAAATAATTCCAGCCTCCTGACCACATTCACGTCTGAGAAGCAAGAGGCAAATAACTGCTCTAATTTAAATGGGATGGCTTTGTAATCTGACGCCCGCAGAAATGAGCTTCTCTACTCATCAAGCACAAAGCCATGCAAAGACGTAGCTCGTTCCCAATTGCCTGTTGAGTATCCTTTGTCCGAGTTCATTTATTTTATCCGTAGGCATCAAAGGAAGATGTAACACATATGTTCACATCAATTTCCATTTAATGGCCTATTGCTCATAACATCTCTGCATTAAATTAGGAGATTTGGAACATCTCCACCTTTGAGGCTGCAGGGAATAATGCTCTGCTAGAAAGTCTGAAGTACTAGCAGCACATAACGTCTTGGGAGACTTTCTGTGGCTTGTGTTGGATGGGAAGGCGGATTGTGGCTGGTCATTGCCTGGTGCAGAAAGTGGGAGACCACAAAAAGCTGTGTGTCTAGGCACAATTGCAATAGTCTGCTTGAATGTAGGTTTGGAAATGTGTGTGTGGTGGGTCAGATCCCATACACCTTCAAGGAGCTGGAGGGCTGAGACGGAAAATGGTTTTATTCCCTCTGTCAGAGCGGTGTCTGCACGGGCTTTTGCAGACTGACACGAATTTGCTTGGCCACTGGTCAGTTCAAAGCCTAGCAGATGAGCTCAGAGCAGCTCTGGGATGTTGTTGGAATTTGGGTTGCTGAGCACTCTTAATGATAAGCTGTTCTCAGAGGTCTGGGCTGTTAGCTCAGCTAGATGAGCTCATGTTTGCCTTACGAAGATAGTGTAGACACACCAAGTTCCAGGAGACACTGCGTTTTCCTGTCGTCTTGGCCAGGGACATGTGGTCCCTCCCCATCCCAGTTATAATTGCCCGAGACTGTGTTCAGATACTTACTCGGAATGAGCACTTGATGGTTTTTAAATGTGTTTGAGAGCCTAGAAGCCCTTCAGCCCTCCAAATGGGCTCTGACGAGTCCTTTGATACGTTTGAGATCAGGAGTTGCTTTTCTTCTGGAGCAGGCAGGGCTTGGAAAGACCAGCTGGTTGTGATGGTAAATGTCCAAAGAGGACATAATCTTGCGCTGGCACGTGAACGGGCTGGAGACACATTACAAGACCTCTCTTCTCTTTGGTTTTATTTGTAGGAATGTGTGGCAATATTTTAATCCTAACGAAGTATCCTCTAAGGACTGCTCTGAATAGACCAGCTGTCAGTAATTACACAACGAATTCAGGGCACTGTCTGCCGGGTCCAGCAAGTCTGGCCTTTAAAACAAATACACTCCTGGGCAGTGGAGCCAGTGAAGCCTCCTTTCCTATTTGCCTTTGTATCGTGTTTGAGCTCTCCTGTGGCTTACGGCTGGGTGATATTCTATGAGGACTGATCTCACACCGGCGTCCTTCCCTCAGCGGGAACGCAAACGGGATTTGTCACTTCTAACCTGATGCCTGTTTCAGTGAGTTGTATTATCTGGACGGCGCAGGGGCTTGGCCACCTTTGTTAAATTTGACTGGATCCATCGGTGGACTCAGCAGTTATTCTGGAAGGAGAAGGGGAGATGGGACCAGGAGGCTCAGACCCACACCCCTTGCTCAAGAGGTTGGGCTAAAAATCTCCACCTGTGTTGGTAGTGAAGGGCAGGAGCACATCCACTGTTGGAGTTCCCCTTGATGGGAAAGCCGGGAAATGTCCTGGTAGCGAGGACAGTGGATGGAAAATTGTGCTGCAGCTACATCAGAGCGCTGACTGCCTGTTAGAAGTCTTGCAGATCTCAGAAACGGGTGTCACGAGGAAGCGCTGGGATCTCTGTCCCTGATGGGTTTTTTTGTTTTGGTTTGGTTTTTTTAAAACAAATTAGAAAAACACCTGCCAAGAATATAGTGTTGTGTTTTAGGGTGGATAGTCTAGATGGGTTATTGAGGTCCTACTGGGTCTGTTTTCTGCTGACCTATGCAAAGCATCTCCTAAGTAGCATGACATCAAGCAGGAAAAACAATAGACCCTTTAGTGCCCTGCCTTTCCACGGCGGGGGGACGTCTTGAGAAACTTGCTTTTAGGTCAGGGCACATCATTAAAATGTGCTGGCTTCACAAGGACAGGCCAGACACCAGGGGTGAGCTGTAGTTCAGTCTCTCCTCTGTTTGCTGTTGGTTGACTGTCATGATCTAATAAGCTTGAGATGACAAATTGACCTGTTCTTTTCTCTCCTCACCCCCTGCAGACCTGGGACGATGAGCTGGAAAGGTCAGCCCACGCTTGGGCTCAGCAGTGCATCTGGGACCATGGGCCTAGTGCCCTCATCAGGTCGATTGGCCAGAACTTGGCAGTTCACTGGGGCAGGTAAGAGTTGGGGTGCTACCAGCTCATCGCAAAGAACAATTTATGGATCCTCCTTTAGAGCCAGCTGGAACGGTTTGCGGTGTTGACACTTAGTAGAACACTGGGGAGATGGGAGAAAAGGTGAGGATGGATAATTGGTATTGCTGCAGTAAAATGGTTGTAACGATAATACCTGCAGCCGCCTTCGGCTGATTCTCCCCAGCAAACCAACACTGATGGGGCTTTGTTTATCGGGGTGCTGCAGCTGTAACGTGCCCGAGGCCGCTCTCACTCCGTAAGGAGAACAGCCACAGAAGTACAACCCTTGCTCCTAAAGCTGCACTTTTGGGGGTGGGTTCCGGCACCATACTGAGAACCGGCTGAAAGCTGAAGTTTCTCAGGAGCAATGTCTGGATTCAGCTGCAAGTTCAGAACTCATTGCTGTAAACTTTTTAATTACCTCGTGCTGTATTTCCCGTAAATATTTATCCAGCTCCTAATTTCTCTTTACTGAAACCACTTTGCAGATGTATTTTTTTCAACTTCCTGGGGAAGGTTTTTAACCAAGAGTTGTTAACGCAGCTAGGAACGCTGACATTAAGGCTTCCAAATGGATTTGCCTCTCCATCTCATGGTGATTATTTGTTTATTGGTAAGCCCGTCATAGGTTAAGCTTGCTTTGTAGAGCAAACATCTTGTATGTGCGCAGGAGCCCTAATGGGTGGAAATGCAGTTATGCTTGTTGTAAATCAGGTAGAACTTGGTTGAAAGCGATGGAAACTTGCTGGTGTGAAATTGGCCCGATACAAAAATCGGGCCCGTTTTTGTTGGCAGAATTAAATAACGATTGGAAAGTGGAGTGGTTAATCCACTGGAAACAAAGTCAACAGATTGGCCTGTTCTTGGCTCCCCTACAAGTGTTCAAGATGGCCATGGGTTACTGATGGAGGCAGATCCAATCTCCCTCCCTTTGCAGTCGCTGAGAGGAAAAAGAAATCAGATTTATCTCCGTTTTTTCAGGAACGGGCCATAACTTGATTGCCTCAATTTCCTCTCCTGTAAAATAGGATTCGGAAAGTATTCACTTAATGACATCATGAGATTAATGTTTTTAAAATACTTCTAATGAATGATTTTTAATGAAGAGTTGGCTGAAGGAACAAACTCCAGTTGGTAATGATATCATTTGTATTTCTGGCTGCTTGCTTCATGCGAGCTGTTGAAAGCAATAAAAAGCAGCGGGTTTGAAGAGCTGCTCTGCTTTGATACAGGCTTTGCAATTGCTCTGCCTGCTCACTGTGTACGCAGCACCCGAAACGCATATGCGTTTCTATAGGTGGTTTTAACACCGTTTGTGGTCCCCTGAACAGCACAAGTAGCATCGGTGCCGCGAGAGACGGCAACGTCTTGTGCACGGTTTGCACAGAGAACGTCCAGCGTACGTGGGGGCTTTGTGTAGAGGGAAATTGCTGCGGTAAAAGGGGGGGTACGTGTGCCGACCACCGACTCTTCTGCACTACTACCTCCTGGTGTGGTGTGCGTGTGAAAAAGCCCACTGGCTTTTAAAGATCTTACAGCCCTAACCGCCTGCGCGCTTCCAGATTTAGCAAATTGCCCGGTGGTGAAATAGGTACACGATGGCTTTTGGTTTGAGATGATTGGCAAACCTTCACTTCTGTTTACTTTCAAAATACAACTTTCCACCAAACTAGAAGTTTTTTGTAGTTGTGTGGAAAAGTCAGGAGGACATTTCAGGTCAGCGGCACTTGAAGAGCATGTCAAACCTATAAATAATACAGAAAGTCAGACCGGGCTGTGAATCTTAGGGGGAAAAAGTAATCTTTAATGTTTTCAAGATTTTTTCAAGATTTTTTTCAAGATTTTCAAGACTTTTTTTTTTTCCCCCTGATCATTAGAACATTGGGTTCAATGAACAAATTAGAATCATTCTAAATCCTTAGAACAAACACGGGTTCTTTAAGCAACACCTCCTCGATGAATGGAATTTGCCTTAAGAAACTTTTCTATAAAAATCAGCAAAACTTGTATTAAAAAAATCTGAGCTTACAATATGGCAGGAGGCTACAGGTACCGTTTGAAAACTCCTACCAGACCTCGGTGATTTAAGCTGTGACCGGTCTTTGCTCCTTCAGGTATCGGTCTCCAGCTTTCCACGTCCAGTCTTGGTACGACGAGGTGAAAGACTACACGTACCCATATCCCCACGAGTGCAACCCGTGGTGCCCCGAGAAATGCACTGGCTCGATGTGCACGCATTACACCCAGGTAACGGCGACGAAAGGCTTTCGGACCTGTACTCCCCGCATCCCCCCGCGTCCCCGCTGCCACCGGCTGCCCGCGGTGGGGCAGTCCGCTTGTTTTCAACGACTGCGTTGCACTTGCAGATAGTCTGGGCCACGACGAACAAGGTCGGCTGTGCCGTCAACGTCTGCAAGCAGATGAACGTCTGGGGCGAAATCTGGGAAAACGCCGTCTACCTGGTCTGCAACTACTCGCCGAAGTAAGGCAGATGAGCTGGGCTCTCTCCAGCTTTCCGAAAACTGGCGGGTTGCTTAACTAGCCCAGGGTCTGGGGAAGAGATTTCAGGCAGTCTAGACTGGCGGTTGTGGCTTTAATTTTTCTCTTTAGACGGCAGCACGGAGCGCGTTCGAGACTTCTGAGCGTTGCCCGGAAAACTGAATGAGGGGCTGGGGCCAGGCCGGAGCTTTGATGTTCCTGCCATGGGA